TGAACTGGTAAGTAGTGGTTCCCCCAACGAACATGTCAAGGTCCCACAGTCCTCCCTTGAAGCCCCAACGTCTGCTGATTCCAAGGCTAACGCTTGTCATGTTTTGAATGTGGAGCCTTGGGAGGAGTCTGAGAAGGTTGAATTTCACTATCACCTAGTCCATTGGGTTGAGATAAAATAGCAATGCGCTCAAGGGACAACAAAGTTAATCTTCTTCAAACCTATCATCAACCACCGCTATCTCTGTCTTGATTGATTATGGTGCCACAACTAATTTTATGTCACCACACGAGATACGCAAGGTGAGTTTGGAGATGAAGCCAGTGGCTTTGCAGAGCCCTTGCCAAACTCAAGTAAGCAACAACATCTACACATGCAGTCTAAGGTGCGCGCACTACCTTTGACAAAGAAAACAACTATAACACACGCCTTAAACTTCTATGTCCTTGACAAGTGACAACTATAACACACGCCTTAAACTTCTCTGTCCTTGACAAGTGTCCCTTCCACGCAGTCCTCGGGTTGGGCTGGCTACAGTACCAATGTGAATGAACAAAGTGGAAGGAGTCACTTTTCATGGTCAAAGATGCATCCGGGAACAAGCGTCCTGTCCTCTTGGATGAGAAGCTCGAATCCCAATAACTTTTCTTAATGCCATGCAATTCTGCAAGAAATGGCGCGAGCGTAAGGAGGATAAACAACTGTATGTTGCTTTGTTCACCCTACTCATGTACCTTCTACTTTTGCGGCCAGTTATGATTCTACTTGGCATGATAAGTCTACTTTTATCCCTACATCTACTTCTATTCCAAATGAGATTTGGTTGCGACTATATTTTCTGCATTCAGTCTTAGCAATCTCTGCACCATTGTTTCGACCTGAACAACTGCGAATTCCTTTCACATAATTGCATTTTTCAATTTGTTGGAAAATAGATCTACAGACTAATAATCTGCGACCTGATATAGATAATCCTTCTTCTGATCCCCCATCCCCGCCGATCCCAACAAGCCAAAAGCCTGCTCGACCGATTACCGAAAGTTATGGCCGAACCCCGTGGAGTTCCCACACGATCGGTCAAACACACGATTGAGTTGGTCGAAGGCGTTGTTCCTCCAAGGGGCTATGTATACCGTATGGGATCCAGCGAGTTGGAGGAACTCTGAAAACACATCGATGGGGTGATCCACAAGGGATGCATAAAGCCTAGTGAATCTGAATTTGGTGCACCCGTTATGTTTGTCCCAAAGAAAGGAGGCAAACTCTGTATACGTATTGATTGCCGTGGTCTAAACCGCATCACAAGAAAAAATGAGTGCCCATTGCCACATATAGATGATTTATTTGATGTTGCAAATGAGTTTAAGGTCTTCTCCAATATCGACCTAAAGTATAGGTACCACCAGATTGAAGTCGAACTTGCAGACCAGCACAAGACTGTGTTCAAAACTCACGATGGGCTTTATGAATTCACCATAATGCCCTTCGGTCTTACGAACGCACCGACCACCTTCCAAAGTTTTATGGACAAGGTCATCCGCGAACAAATTGGTCGATTTGTGGTTGTGTATCTCATTGACATTCAGATTTTCAGCAAGTCGACTGAGCAACACATGAAGCATCTTGAGGAAGTGTTCACAATCCTCAAGAAAACACAGCTCCATCTCAACTTAGAGAAATATGAGTTTGGGAGGGAGAGCGTCATCTATCTTGGGCACCGATTGTTTGCTGCAGGCCGTGAGTCTGAGGCCACCAAGGTTGAGGTTATACACAAGTGGCCTCAACCCACTTGTGAATTGCATTCTTTTGTTGGTCTTGCATCATACCATCAGAAATTTGTGCCCCGATTTTCTATTGCCGCTCGCTTGTTGTCGAAACTAACAAGCAAAAACATATCTTACAAGTGGGATGCAACATGTGAGACCACTTTTCGAGCCTTGAAAGAGGCCTTAGTAAGTTGTCCTGTGCTCCGCATATCGAACTCCCAACTCAGATCCGTAGTCGCTACGGATGCGAGCCAGTATGGGATTGCCGCACTGCTGCAACAAGATGACGGTGATGGTTTGCGGCCGCTCGTGTACTACAGCAAACACATGCCCAATGAAAAGGTAGTTACTTCCACCTACATGCGCGAGGCATTGACCCATTGGAAGCACTATCTTTTGGGACGCCGTTCTCATGTCATGAAACCTTGAAATGGATAAACAGGCAAAATACCTTGTTCCCTACTTTGACTGGCTAGTTCCATCAGATTGAAAATTTTGACTCTGAATGAAAACACAAAAAGGGCTATTATAATCGAGTTGCTGATGCATTTTCTCCCTACCCCGAGTATATGACTTGCCTTGTGAACCCCTATGACCTCCGAAAGAAACTGAAGGAGAGGGTCGTTAGGCAAACTTCCAAGGACCCGAACTTTAGTCTGATCCTTAAGCAGTTGCGGGCTGACCCCAACAATCTATTTGATTTTCACGAATGCGAAGGACTGGTTTTCCACGTTATGGAAACAATGACCGTTTGTGTGTACTCAACCATGAGCCTCTCTGCACACATTTCTTGGATTTGGGTCTCGGTAATGGTGGATACTTCGACATTGCAAAAACCTACGGAAACATGTTGCAAGACTGGCCTCAATGAATCAAACCATAGGGGGCTCTGCTCAAACCCCTCCCCATTCCCAACGGTCCCTGGAGAGTTCGTCTCCATCGACTTCACTGACATGGGGAAAACGAATGGGTATTCGCAAGTGATGGTGATTGTTGACCGCTTTTCAAAGTTTCTAAATTCCCTTGCCACCTCATGCCCCAACCGAACTCATGATCCAAAAATTCCACCAGAAGTACATTCTGCAGTTCGGGACACCGAAAACCCTTCAGAGTGATTGGGACCCGTGCTTCATAAGTGTCGATTGGAAGGACTTCACGGGCCAACTCCCTGGCCTCAAGCTAAGTATGACATCTGGTTGAAACCCTGAACCAACGGTTTGGCTGCGGAAATTAACCAGACTGTGTTTCAGCTTCTTCGTGCCTATTATCCCTGATCAAGAGACGTGGGATGAAGAGTTGTATTCGGTCAAGGGGTCGTACAACAACTCCATTCATTCGTCCACCGGCATGACACCTAACAGGCTGCATTAGGGTTGGCAGATCCGTAATCTGCTCTCCTACCTATTCCCTGAACCACCCGCCGGTCTGACACCTGGCAGGCCTGGCCTCAGCGCCAAGTATGATCGCTTGCTCAAAGTTGCCATTGCAGCAATGACCAAGCGACAGCACGACATGATCCATCATGCGAATAAGAAGCGCCCACCAGCAACAATCAAAGTGGGAAGTTATGTCAAACTTTTAGAGGAAGAAGGGGTGTCACACAAACTTCTCCCTCTCTATTATGGTCCGTGGGAAGTCTTGGATGTGATTGGTGATGATAAATTTGGTCCTTCAAACGTAACTGTCGTGCCTCCTCATCTGCGCACGTACCCAGTCTTTCATGCATCAAAGTTGTATATCGTGAGGACATGATCCCTCATGCAATTAATGGTGGCCACAAGATCGACATAATTAAAAATCACATGGGGAAGGGACGGAACAGAATATCAGGTCCATTTCCTGTACCACCCGTTGGATGATCTCTATTGGATTTCTAAGAAGGAACTCCTGCGCAGAGCACCTCGCGTTGTGAAAGCATACAGACCAGAGATACCTTCCGAAGCTATTCCCAAAATCTCTGCAAAACACACTGCTATTGAGTACTTACGGAATCTCTTTGCCATATTCTCGTACCACACGTTTGTCGGGGACGTAGAACGAGTTACTCACTCGAAGGGACCTCGCTCTTGAGAGGGGGGTAGAGTTAGGACCTGCCAAACACGGACTGAGACACAGCTGATTTCTGAGTTTTGCCCATGGAATGTATGCCTTACTGACTTTTCCGCTTGTTGCTGAGTTTTCTAAGTCTGAGTGACTGCGGCTTGCTGAGTTTTCTAAGTCTGAGTGAGTGCGTGCTTGCTGGTCTGCGTGCCTGTCTGAGTGCTCATCAGTTTGAGTGTGTGTGTGACCCACAAGGGTACTTGTCCGTGCGGAAGGCCCAAAGGGCCGGTACTTACCTGTGGCCGTGACATTGAGGGTTGCAGCGGGAAAAACACTCAAGTGCCGGGGGAAGAGGCCCGCGACACTTGGAGCAGCGGAAAAACACTCGAGTAGCAGGTACCACATCCTCCTCCCGTCCCTGCTACTTCCCCAGCAGCGCTTCTCCAGCCAGCACTCCAACCAGTGTGGTGCCAAACTTGAACACCGACAATGAGGAGCACTTTGCTCCTGGAGATTTAGCGGCCTGCTTGCCTCTTGGCGAGTGACTTCATAGGCTGCTGGCTTCCAAGCAACCGGTAGCTCCTCCCGTTCGGAGGGAAACATCATTGCAGACTCTGATATTGCCCGTACTACTACTGGCCCTCTAAAAATGCCAACGTTGTCTTCTTCTGGTGGACGCTGCATCTGGAAGGCCCCACTGGGGTAGAGCTGCACCAAGAAGCTTCGAGGCAGAGTCAGGCATGGCAGCCTGAACAGGAGCAGCCATAGCTGCTTTGTGTTGTCTTGCACAGCAGAGCAATGCCCTGGTAGTCCGCCATATCCTCGGCCTTGGAGGAAGGAGGAAGAAGGGTGGTCATGGCTATGGTGGACCTCATGTGATACCTGCAGTAGAAGAGGGATTCGGACATTGATTCTGGTTCAGCCATTCAACATTATTATTATTATTTCTCCTTTGAATAAGAGGGGAGGAGGTAAGGAGGAGGAGAGTGAATGGTGAAGGAGAAAGGGATTATCAGTGGTCTTTGCTGGTGTACATAATCTTCTTCTTATTTCTTTCTTCTTCTTCTTTCCCTCTCTCCTCTCTCAAGTTCATTCATTTTTTTTTGCAATTGGACGGCATTGTAGTTTCTTATAAATGTATACTTTGAAATTGGCCAGGATCATAACATGTATATTGTCACAAGGAACGCTAACCTGAATGACCCTGAAGGAAAGGCGTTGGGATGGAGGAACAGTCCGCTTTCCCCTCGCAGCTCTGCTATCCCCCTTTGGCAGCCTTTTGCGCTTGGGCCCGACTGGAAACATTCGACATCCTTTAGCCACGCTACATAGCACCCATTCCACGCCTGTCACCTTCAAGGTCCCCTCCTTCAGAGTTTGAACTCGTAATCGTACCTGTGAATATGCAGAGGCAGAAACCAAATTATACTCCCAACTGAAGAACACAACATAGTCAATTACTTGCAAGTGGACCTGTGCATCCTCTATCAAATCAAAGGCTGAGTAACATCCGCTTTGATCATGCCACTAGGCATTTGATGGACAGGTCCAGAGAACATTACAGACCATCACCGGACAACTGAGCCCTTACTCACAGCAGGAGTTTTCCAATTGCTTCTGGCCACAGTCACCGTAACATACACCCGAAAAAGCTCTTAGTTTTAGTATTGCCCTTTTGTCACGTACAGGATGCACAGCTGATCAAACATTAAACTTTGAAGCAGTTGTAAATTACACACAACGGACCAGATAGCCTGCAGTGGAAACACTCTGAAACAGGATTGGCTCCCCACAATTGCCGGCTGATGTGTTTCATGTTTGACTGTGAAGCACTTTGTGCTCAGAGTTTCTAACGGTGAAGAGTTCCTTCAGCTAAAGGGACAAGTGGGGAGTTCGAACTCGGGATGTGAAAGATACAAACTTTCAGCTGAAGGAAGTGTGGAGTTCGAACTCGGGATGCATCCAGAGTTTGTAACGGTGGAGAGTTCCTTCAGCTGAAGGCCTGATCACTCGAAGTTTGTAAACAAGAGGGCCCTTAGCTGAAGAGACAGGTGGGGGGTTCAACTTCGGATGTGAAAGTTACCAATTTATCAAGTAGCAACGGTGACGAACAGGACGCCTTCCTCACAAGTTTTCAGCCGCCCGTCTACTTGTCTGGACCAGAAGTGCACTGGCGTTTTCCTTTTCTTTGCTCTTTTTCCTAGGAAACTTCCCCCCACTAAAAGGCCTTCAAAGTAAGAACAACAATGGAAAAGAACAGCATTTTCCGCTACTTTTAGCAGTTTCTCCCGGCTATGGCAGGAGAGGTTTTTTTCGACCCGAATACGGTTGAGCAATATCCCAATCTTGCCAGGTCTCCATACTTTCTGCATTGCTGAGGCATCAAGGGCAATGTGATAGTGTTTCAGCAGCTGAGCTCAGCAACATTTCGCAGAACAGCACAGTGGAAGCTGGGTAAGGCTCTCAACCCGAACATCCAGCGACCAAACCCCCAATACAGTAGAGTAGTCAGTGAACACTCACATTTGGGATTGCTTCATCTGAATCCTGCTATGATTCGGGGTAGATACAGTATGGGCGGTCCTTCTGTGAACATAATGTCAGCTGTCCTAGTTCCGCGCAACCCACGTGTGTGCGTCTTACCTTTGCGGTCTCTCCAGGCTTCAATGAGAATGACTCCTCGGGAAGGTAGAGAGAAGGTTCTGCTCCGTTTTCCGCTTGCCTTGAAGGTTCACCTTGTTCTGGTCCAGGTTCACCTTGTCCTGGTCCTTTATCATTGCCTGGAACAGGCTCTCCCCCAATGCTCTGCTCCGCTTCTGCGTTGCCACTGTCAGAATGAGCACCTGACCTATCCGCCTCAGATCCCGTGCCTGAAGCACTTCCATTCCCTCTGCACACAGAGAAACAAACACGGGGGACAAAGGCTAGACTGATCAGAATCCCCACCCAGGGTTTTAAGGACTTCAGGTAGGAAAAGAACACAGCTCTCAGAACCTCAGTCCGTAACAGTCAGCGTCGTATTACAGACCTGAAAGCTTCCTGAGTATTACAACCCTCTAGCACATGCGAGATGATTCAAGAACCGTGTGCAACCCATATGCCCATGGCTCCATCCTTGTTTTTTACAGCAATTCTGCAAACTTGCAGGACTCTCTCTCTCTCTCTCTCTCTCTCTCTCTCTCTCTCTCTCTCTCTCTCTGTGTGTGTGTGTGTGTGTGTGTGTGTGTGTGTGTGTGTGTGTGNTGTGTGTGTGTGTGTGTGTGTGTGTGTGTGTGTGTGTGTGTGTGTGTGTGTGTGTGTGTGTGTGTGCCTCTGCATGCTAGCACCCTTCCATGCACATGCACATTACATGAACAGACAGTGGTAGTACCTTGTCTTTGAAATTTGAATTCACTGCGCCCTGCCACTTTAAGCCATGCCTTTGCTCCTCTCTCTCTCTCTCTCTGTGTGTGTGTGTGTGTGTGTGTGTGTGTGTGTGTGTGTGTGTGTGTGTGTGTGTGTGTGTGTGCTCCTGCATGCTAGCACACTTCCATGCACTTGCACATATACACGAACAGACAGTGGTAGTACCTTCTCTTTGAATTCACTGTGCCCTGCCACTTTGAGCCATGCCTTTGCTCCAGGAGCCTGAACACCGGACTACTCTTAACTGGCTCTGCCATCTCATCAACAAACTTCTTGATGTCATTCTTTGTCGGCGGCACCTCTGCTAGTTTCTCGCATAAAATGTAGACTATATAGAGGTTGATATTCTTGTCAGTCTCTGATAATCTCACCAACCGGGTGAGCTCAGCACCCAGCGTCTGAGCATCCATGTTCCTGTATTGCTCGAGCTGAGGATCGAGCTGTTCGAGCGTTTGCTCGCCAGACTGCAAAATGACCCATTACCACGACGAGACCCCAAACCCCCAACCCCAACCCCAATCAACGCCAATCCCCATACATTTAGAATAACAAAATAACAAAAAATGAAAAGTTAAGTAACCGTAACAAACAAGTTCTGAGCAGCATTGGTCATCCTAAATCAGGTATGAACTTTGCCCATTATTAATTTATCATCCGGACCATCCCCTGGATTAAATAAAAGTCTGCAGAAACAGCTTGCAGGATTAGATGTGCCAAAACCAATTCCCCAGGCAGTCGTCAACCCAGGTGTTTGGATTCAGAGGGCACATGTGCAAACCCCTCCCCTCCCCCCTCCTCGCCCTGCACAAGGGAGAAGGACGACATCATCTAGTTTCCAGCCTTCCCTGCGGGTCTGTTAGCTTCGCTCTTCTTTCGTGACCGGCAGCTCTCTTTCACACTTCTTGTCCTCTATTTTCATCACTCCCGGCTTCTCTATTTTCATCACTCCCGGCTTTATCTTCTCAATGCAGTTGATTTACTTTAATGTCATTTATTGTGATCTTGCATGGACACCTCTGCTCTGAAATTGTGCAAGTACCCAAAACCCTGCAAGTTTGCTACCTCTCTCTGAACGCTAAAACAAAGATTTCATTTTCTTCAACTCTTTTTAAGTTTCTTTCTTCAACAGTTCAACTCTATTTATTTTTAAGTTTCTTTCTTCAACTCTATTTATTTTTTGGGAAGAAAGACATCGAACAACTTTAAGGAGGGAGGATCTACCGCCTTTGGCAGAATTTTACCCCTCTCCAGGCCTTCTGCTACGGCCTGTGGCAGAATTTTACCCTTCTCCAGGCCTGCTGCTAAGGCCTTCGGCAGAATTTTACCCTTCTCCAGGCCTTCTACTACAGCCTTTCGCAGAATTTTACTCGTCTCCAGGCCATCTGCTACGGCATATGGGGTCCCCCGAAATACTTTTCCGGCAGAGTTTTTTTGGAGCACATTTCCGTGGGGTACATGGCTAGTCGCCCCACAAGGTCTTGCTACCAGTGATGGGCCTGGGCCTCTCGGGTTGGGCACGCGCACGCGGTGTCAATGAATGTTCAAATACAAATTCACGGCAGACCGAGAAGGGGAGAAATACTACACAATGGCGAGAAGTTTTTCTTTTTGTTGGAATCCATCGAAGACCATTTTACCTAGAGGACTCGCAGGCTGTCACGGTAGTCTGGGAAGTTGCACCTGAGAGGCCAACCTGCCTTTGTCGGTGAAAAAAAGCAGTTTCGCGACTTTGTCGCTTTTCTCTGTTTCATCAACTTAGTGTCATTGTATTTATAAGGGGATTCAAGTTCATTCAACATCTGAAGTTTGAACTCTTCTGTGCATTTCTCAACAATTGACATGCACAAACCATTCACCCAACAGGCAGATATGGCCATCTATTTTGTCTGGGGACTAAACTCCAACAGCTCGCCTCACAGTTATGACACGGCTTCTCAGTTTTCTGAGTCTTATGACTGAAATGTGGCCTGAATAGCAACCAAGAGCATCCACGAAAAGATATTCAACTCCAACAGCTCAGTTTTTTGAGTCTTTTGACTGAAATGTGGCCTCAATAGCAACCAAGAGCATCCACAAAATCTTTTTTTTTTCCTTTTTTTTAATACAAAAAACACGAGGCCCTTTCTATTCTGGGAGCAGCAGTCCGGTTACTTGTCCACCGGCAAATCGGCAACCAGCAAAATCCTTTCTTTTTTTTTTTTTGATAAACTGGTTCCATTCATATTGTTAACTCAAACTAAGTGGGGCCGGCCTCCCCACAAACCTTAGTTCAAGTTAGTTTGGAGGATTCTACTATTTTGTCATCGACATGGTCCTTCCATTCTGATTCTGTAGACCTAATGGCCATCATTGCATTGCGTACCCCCCTGAGAGCCGCACAGTCATTCCATCCAGGTACGAATCTAACAGCCATGATTGCAATGGATCGAATGCAGACAAATGGGGTACGAACCAGGCGTTAGCTATTCTATGCATCTCTCTGCGTCCTGTGTCTCCCCGTCTTTTCCCACCCATATGTAGACCTAATGGCCATCATTGCATTGTGTACCCCCCTGAGAGCCGCACAGTCATTCCATCCAGGTACGAATCTAACAGCCATGATTGCAATGGATCGAATGCAGACAAATGGGGTACGAACCAGGCGTTAGCTATTCTATGCATCTCCCTGCGTCCTGTGTCTCCCCGTCTTTTCCCACCCATACTCTCACTCAAGGTAGGCCGGAGGTGCTGGACATAACACATTAGTGAATCCCCCATCTGATTGCACACAGATGTATGGCAACTCCTTTCAAGGGGTTTCCCACTTATATGCTTTCAGCGGTTCTCCCATACCAAGGTAGCCACCTGGTAATATGCCCCTAGCATGACAACTGGTCCAACTCATGATCAATATGCTTTCAGTGACTCTCCCACACCAACGTAACTACCAGGCAATGCCACTGGCATGACAACTGGTACACCAAAGGTTGGCCCATCACAGTCCTCTGGCACTCATGATCTATTAATCGACAGTTACAAGTGTGCGCCATTCAGCAACATGAGGTGAAAAGTGGCAGGCATTACCTTTACTCTGTCTCCCAACTGTGAGGAGAATGATCGCTCAAGAGAAGCGTCGGAGAGACTTCCTCCTTGACCCCACACCTCGCCTTGTGAGCCATCGACTATTTCCTCTCGCTCTTCGAGCTCCGATTGCAACTCTTTTCGGTCTGCATGCCGGAGGCCTGAAAAGCTTGCCACTCGTCCTACACCTCTGTTCAACCAACCACAACGGACGGACAAACCAAACCAAGCCGGAATGAGTCCCACTCAACTGTTTGTCTTTATGACTCCTTAGTACCTTACTATCCTTCAGACTATCTGCAAATACAGTGCACACTCCACTCCGACTCCAAACAAGCTATTACTTCTAAAAGCACATACAGAAGCTGAAGAGGTGGCAATATCCTGGCCTCGCCACACCACTCCCGGAACGTGCAAAATGGAGCGGGCATTTTCTGCAAAAACATAGAAAGATACATACGCCATAGGTTTTGTCTTTTTCACATTCCATGAGTGGTGTGGTGATGCCGTATATACATACTAAATGTGTCCAGGCAGGCAGGCTTGTCAACACTATCAATGCAAGTTGAAATGACTACATCCCAGGGAAACTACAATCTATCTATATTACTAAAGGAAGGATAGGGCCTGTCTCTTATACACATCTAGATGTGTATAAGAGACAGTTCCATGAGTGGTGTGGTGATGCCGTATATACATACTAAATGTGTCCAGGCAGGCAGGCTTGTCAACACTATCAATGCAAGTTGAAATGACTACATCCCAGGGAAACTACAATCTATCTATATTACTAAAGGAAGGATAGGGCCCCGTAAGACGCTTCCCCTAGGCCCAGGGAAAATGCGGCCCGAACGTCGATTGATGGGACAGAGTGCCCCGTTTTGTACGTTTTTCTTTTGGGCAGGCAGGCCCGCGCGTTCGCGGTTGTTTTTTTCGGGGACGCTTGGGACCGTTGGTGTTGGCTCGGCATTACGAACGGGGTCTTTTTTCGCTGCAGTTTGTTTCCCGCTGCGCCGTCTATTGCAGAAAGTGTTGTCCGGCAGCTGTCAGCCATATTCAACCAGGTAGTGTATATTTCCATGTTGTAGCCAAAGATTCATTCGATTTTGCTCATCCTATCGATGGAAGTAGCATGAGGCCCGGCGCGAGGTTGGAGACTTACCTGTTCTCTCTCTCTCTCTCTCTCTCTCTCTCTCTCTCTCTCTCTCTCTCTCTCTTTCTCTCTCTGTCACACACACACACACACACACACACACACACACACACACACAGAGTTTTAGGTATGTTTGTTTTTCGGCGTTCTCCTATTTCTTCTAAGTACTTTTTGTGTCTCTAGCCGAGCACCCTCTAGCAGTGCGAAATAGTCGGTGGGTTCTCGTTTGGAGTGCCTACTGCACTCTTAGGGGGGCGCTCGGTTCAGGATGTCTGTGTTGCCTGTCGGTCATGATGGATGGTCATCGGAGTGTCTCCCTGGCTCAGTGGGTAGTGGGAACCAACAGTCTGCGGGGTTAACTCGTGATGTGAGTAGGTCATGTGCCGTTTTGCTCCGTGTTGGATGTGTGGACATCCTCCTCTGCGCTCCGCCGTTGCCCTGCTGCTTGCCCCGCTTGCTTCGCATGTGGTTCTTTGCAGGTTGATGTCTTCGCTGTGCGGTGTGGCCGTGCTGTTGGTGTTGCCTTGCGCTTCGCTGCTCTGCTGACATGATGCTCATCCTCTGGTCGTGCCTTCCGTGTTTGCTGCTTGTGTGCCTTGTAGGTTGGTCGCCTTGTTGCTGGTACGTTGTGCTCCGCTCCACGGTTGCCGAGCTGCTGGTCCGCTTGCCCTGTCGTCCCCTGCAGTGCTGTTGCCTTGCTTGTGTTGTCTTGTGCTTCACTACACGGTTGCCGCGCTGCATGCCCTGCGTGCCACGTCGTTCCTTGCAGTCGTTTTTGGCGTTGTGCAGCCATGTTGCCTCTACTGTGTTGCCTGGTGCTCCACAGGGTTGCTGCCCGCTGCCATGTTCCACTTGCGGACAGTCTGCCTTCAACAAGGGTCAAGGGGTTCATGACCCAAGCCATCAAATATGGGGATTCCGCAGATTGTCGAGGGTTCAGCCTCCTGATGAGTCGGTGCAACTCCGACGAAATAATCTTGTTATCATCAGTTTTTATTTTTTTCGGTCTTCTGATTTTTTTGGGACATGTATTTTTTCCTGTTTGCCTGTTTCGTGTGCTTGCATGTTGTCTGCCC